TAACATGGCTTATGCTTCAGATGATTTATCTGTTCGCGGGTAGTCTGATTGTGGCTGGATACAATATCCTGGGCGTTGATCAGTTCGTTGTCAGTCCAATGTTCTCGATTTCGCTATTCGTCCTCTTCGTCTGCACCGGGTAATGCTCTCTTTAAAGTACCACAGCACAGTCGCCTTCGTTATTAAATGTTGTTCTCCATATTTATCTCTTCGTGCATCCTGAAATTGCTTTCCAGACTTACACTTACTGCTCTCACATATCTTTGCCAGACGTTGTTCAGAATCCCATCGCTCGCTTATATCGTCATCGGTGTCGGATCGTTTTTCATTGGAGCTAACTGCACCAGTGTTGTCATTCTTCTAGAAAATCAGATAATGAAGGTTTGCGCCAATTTCACCATCGTTCTTAGTTTTCGAACTGTTTTTGAAAGTGTTTTGATTTGAGGGAATGAGTTGTTTACGCCCTCATAATACATATTCATGTACTTGAATATTCATATACTTGAGTCAGGCATAATTTATGCATATTTATTTAAATACATAGGATAGGAAATATTGACTCCGGAACCCTTTGTTTTGTTTCTTTGGAAAAGTTTAGTAACTAGACTTTGAGGTGAAACGAGCGTTAGGAGCGCTGTCAGGTTGACTGCAGGACAGTGCAGCATTGATCAGAGAAACTGGAAAAGTTGCCAGCTGTATAATTGGAAAAGTAACAATGAAGTGACGTTTCGTTAAAAAGCTTTTAATATGTTGGGTGTTTTAAGGATGAAGCATTGTTAGCTGCTTATCACTTCTGCAGCATCGCGTTCTTGGTAATCCCTCACTACAATTTTGGCATGGCTCTTTTTCGTTTGAATTTTGTTGCTGTATTGCGCATACAAGGCGGAATATACCTTGGTACGTAATGTTTTCAGCTTTTTTTATCGCTAAAACTATTTGTTCCTGAACCGTCCATGTACGTACAGTTTTGCCTGTATAATACACATTTCACCATAAAACCAGCTCCTTTATTGGTGATTGGTTAGAATTTTTTGAGGTTTAGTGAAAATGGAAGCTCTTTGGCTTTCCTACTAAGCTCATTTCTCTAATCTATTTAAGCAAATTCGAAGAAAACCCTAGAAACTTCCTTGTATAATTTTGAATCATTTCTTTGTTCTCTTTTTGCCAGTGAGCGAAAGTCTATTGCCCATGTACTTTTCCCCGCTTACGTGTTGGTTGTTTGAACTGCAAAGTAATTTTCCTCTCCCTTCTGGTCTTTGCAGTTTGTGAAATTCACTTTCCTTCACAAGTTTTAACTTCAGACATTTACCACAATAGAACAAAAGAGAAAAAATAAAAGATGGGTAACTTGATAAACATACCGTGGTCTTAGGCTAGTCTCCTGTCTTTGATTTTATTTCCCAGACAAAATGAGCTTTTCGGGGCTTCTCTAACCTTCTCCTACGCATGTGATTGAAAAAATGATATTGCCTTGATCCGCTCAATTTCAAATTCTGTAATTTATTCTACTCCTCAAAAATTTTGAGGACAAAAAATTTTCAATATTCCACCAGCAATTTTCAAAAGCATTTCAGAGCAAACCACAGAATTTACAATATTCTGTTGTTCAATCGCACTTCTGGTGCATTTTGCAACACATTATAAAACTGTGTCATTAAGTGCACTTAAGCAGTTCTGAAAGTTTTAGAAGAAATCAATCGAGCGGATCGGATCGATCATTTGCCTCTTCCAAATCCATTTGCATGGCACTTAATGGGCAAGCATTTGGTGGCACTCACAATCGAATTTTA